AGGTCCCTGTCTGTGCAATGAGAACACTCCCTTCCTACACAGAGGCGACGGAAGCTATGTTAAAGATGTGGGAGATGTTCATATCCTAGACTGATCAGACAGAAGGAGTCCTCAACAGGGTGACTTCTGCTGCTTGCGCCCTATTCACTTCAGCATGTTCCATTCCACCACACAGCACTGTGTGCACTCAATGAAATGAAGGGTCGGGCTGACAAGCTGCTGGACCAAATTCGGATCTCAGTTACATTGGCAAAAATCCAGAACAACACTTATAGACTTCATGAGAAAATCTGATTCCTGCTTTGGTAAGCTGGCAACAGCTCCTTAAAAATAGGTGGATGCCATTTCCAGTGACTGGTTTTGTTTTCTGTGCACTAGAATACTCCCCAGTTCTCAGCCCAGATTGGACACTATTCCTAAACTTTGATGGCTGGGGAGTTGAAAGAGCATCATTAAAGCTTTTAGAGGGCGTGGCTGCATAAGAGAAAGGCAGAATTAAGAGGAACAAGTTGTTCTAAGAAGCAACTCCATCCATCTGATCTAGGGAGCACTCTACTAAGAGCAAGACCAGATTTCTTAGCAATGATACCACGCAATGGGCAGAAAGACCAAACAGACCACAGCATACCATATAAAGCAGAGACAATGCAATTGCCGCTGAAAAGCACTTACTTAGAAAACAGAGGGGCTTATTTTAAAAAAAACAACAACACAACAGTTTCCTGTTGAGAATTCACCTCAAGATTAAGTAGTTGGAGAGGACAGCTGAGGTATATTAAAGGACCTCTGTCAGCTTAAAAAGAAAATCACACTGTGAACCGTTTTGTTTGCGTGTGCTACCGTACACCACCTTAGCGGACTAAAATCCAGTTGGCTTCTTACTTTCTGCATTTCCTTCAGATGGGACACACACTCAACCCAGTCTGCTTCCTCATGCTTCAGCATTTGGGATGCAAAGAAGGAAAGGGAATGCGTTAAAATGAAACAGCTGTTTTTATTCAGAATTTTAGAGGCCATATATGGCAAGGAAGATTTTTTTTTGGGGGGGGAGGCGAAATGAGGGAAAACTACAAGTTCTCCCCATAGATGATGAATATGCCGCACGTGAGAGAAGGGAAGTTCATGACGAGGCCACACACAGAGAGCAAATGGAATCAATGATAAGCCATGAGCAGCTAGAGATACAGACATGTTCTTAACAGTCATGTCAGTGTTTAAAGACCGCTACTACCATTAGGTGCTTTTGATCTAGCAATGATTCCAGAAGCCCATAGATGGCACAGCATTGCTAGTTGCCTGCATCATGTTGTGTATGACAAGAGCATTATGGGCTGGGTACCTCTTTGAACTCAGTGGAGACCCAACTGTGCTTGCAGGTTTTACTGTATTAGGGAGATATGAAACAAGGGCACTAACGTGCCACCTGGGATTAAGCACAAGAGAAACGGGACAGATGGAAGGTTTCTCACTGCTAGTGATTTACTGGAAACAAGTATCAAGCCTCATTCTGCTGAAGAGAGATGTGTATCCTGTGACTGCGTCCTAGGTTTTGGTTTTTATAAGCCAATGGGGCTAGCTCCAACACAAAAGTAGATCGACTGATAAGGAAGATGGAGCACATTGGAGTGGTTAGATTCATATGGGCTCCCCAACTGGGGGGGGGCGTGTCTCCCTG